GCAAAGCCACCCCGTATATTCTTCTCTGTCATAGAGGCAAAGAAGGCCTCGCGGAAGGCGCAGAGGAACTCGAGCTTGCTCACATGGTTGATATGCATGCGCATCAACTCCTCGATTTGGCGACCGTACGCCTGCTTCAGCGGTCCAAAGCAGCCAACATCGAGTGGCCTCTGGTAGTCGTATTTGCGCGAACAGCGCGTTCGGAGCTCTGGCTGGCGTTTGACGAAGTTGTGGGCCCAGAGCTTGCCGACAGGGGGCGCGTCGCGTACGCGTAGCAGTTGGTTGGCCATATCTTCTACACCACGCAGTCTCGGTGGGAAAGCTCGCGCACATAGCTCAGTAATGTATTGAACAATAACATTCTCTTCGAAATCGGTAAGCCGGCGCGAGTTGGGCGTAGTATCGCATCGTGCAGGCTTGCCGGCGCGTCGGCGCGCTAGGGTTCTACGGTTGACCCCATAGATCTTAGCTGCAGCTCGCTCGCTTAGTTTTTCATCGTTTTCGAGAGCTTCGAGGGCTAAGATCAGCCGAGCTTCTTTTAAAGTAGTGGGAATCTTGGATGATAGGGAAAATGTGTTGTTGAGTGCAGAGGTGTCGCGTGGCAGGGGGGGGGGGGGGTCATTCGGTTATATTGGTCACTCGCTTATAAGATACGTTAAGCGGCAGTCTGAAATAAGGGCTAGAAATTTACCGTAAGGATTCGTTTTAGTTATTGTCTGTCCAATACAGTACAATACAATTTATTGACGCCCGGCGGATAACCCCTATTACAATAACGTACATGATAAGCGAACGTCCCAGACAAGCGAACGTCCCACAAATCCACTCTTCCATACCTTTCATCTTTTTATCGACTTTCCCTCACAACGCAATATGCCCCTAAAAAACGACGAAGCCCAAGTGCAATTAGCCCTTCAAGCAATCCAGAATGATCCGAAACTGAGCCTAAGAGCTGCAGCTAGGATCTATTCTGTGGACCACGAGAAGCTCAGTCGTGTGAGAGACGAGCAATATATAGCGAGGCACAAAGGCGCTGCAAACACTACTCAATTCTGCTAATCGAAAGCTGAGGAAAGGAAAAAGAAGAAGACACAAAATGCGCGTCTGTAGCGCAAGAAGGTAACTAGACGCACGGGCCACCTTTCCTCACAACCCCCCCGTCCAGAAAAGCTCGCCTCGAGCTTTGCTAGCTGGGATATCGTCATGGTCTACAGCCTCATTTCTTTTGCCGCAAGCGTCGTAGCCGCTTGCCCTTGGCCACCGGTCGATTGTCATCTGGGTGAGGTTCCGCGAACCGGTCTTCGGCTGCAGCCAACAACCATTCGTCTAGACGTACTGGCGGGCCAGCTTGCTCTGGATATTCGTCATGGAACCGCTTGAGCGCCGCCGGGGCGTTGCGGAAGTCGCTAGCAGGGTACCATTCGGCGTCAGGGTCCCAACCGCGCCATTGCGCTTGGTACTGGAGCTTGCCGTAATGCGTGCGGCTCGCCAGGATCTTCTCGACCTCCCATTCTTCCTCACCATCGACATCTTCGCCAGGCGGGTTCTCTACCGCCTGCCCAGGGAGTGGGTTATTCGGGTAACGCCGTAAACGATCTGCCGTAAACTCAGCCGACCCACGCCAGGAGTCGGGAACCTCCAGCCGGTAGGCCCCCGTGGCAGTCCTCTCCAGGATCTTGTAATGCTGCTGGGTGACCGGGAAGGATAGCTTGTTGCTCGGTCGGCTGGTCAATTCGGATCGTTTGACAATGACTACGTGGTCGCCCACATCGAAGTCGGGTTCGCGACGATGCCTGTTCGCCTGCACCGCTTGCTGTTCCTGGGCCCTCGTGATCATCCGCCGGGCGTAATCGACGTAGCCCTGGATCCGACGAGCAGCCTCTCGGGCTGCCTCGCGGTTCATCTGTCCCTCCGGTTCAGAATCGTCGAGTTCCTGCACCCGGGATTCCCAGTCGAACGGCATTGGCATTGGGAAACCGAACAAGACCTCGTGCGGCTGCACTCCAGTGCTCTTATGCGGCAGACACATCTGGACAGCATCGAGGGCCGGAATTGCGCGGGACCAGTTGTCTTGGAAGTGGCTGACGAACGGTCGTAACCGCTGGTTGATATACTGGTTAAGGTTCTCGACCTGCCCCGCGGTTTGGGAGTGTCCTGCCGTAGCCAGCTTCCATTCGATTCCCAGGATCCGGGATAGCTCGTCAGTAAAATCGGCTCGAAACTGAGGTCCTCGGTCACTGATGATTTCTTTTGGCAAGCCGTAGACTCGGTACGGTCCCTCGTAGTACATCTTTGCTGCATCGCGGGCAGTAGCGCCCTTCTTGCAGGGGACTGTCCACGACGCCTTCGTCAATCGGTCAATCATGACCAGCGCATTGTCGTAACCGTAGCGATCAGGGGGTAGCTCGTTGAAGTCCATAACCAAGCACTGCCAGGCTCGCTGCGGCGGTGGGATCGGTTGCAACAGTCCAGGGGTCTTGTCGCGCGGGTGCTTTGATGACCGGCACGGCATACAGTTATCAACGAAGACGTCGATATCGCTACGCATCTTAGGCCACCAATACCGCGTGGTAATCAGCTTCCTGGTCTTGTTCCGGCCGGGGTGCGCCGTAACCAGTCGGGAGTGTGCCTCCTGAATAACTCGGGTCCGTAGGTGCCCAGTCGCCGGCACAACCAACCTGCCGTCACGGAGGAGCAGTCGGTCGCCAAGGAGGGTGAACTCCGAATTCCCCGCGCGCGCGCGGTCTCGCCAGTCGTCTAATTCAGGCGCCGTTCGGTTGGCTTCTAGGAGTTCGTCAACCAGTTGGAAACCAGAGCCCGGTGGAGGGGCGACATCTGCATCAAGGGCCATGATCGCTGCGACTGTCGTACCCCGTCCTGTTTGGCCTTCGGCGCGTACTGGGGCAAAGATCTGCATCGTGCGGTATGCTTCCCGCTTCGCCTTCTGCGTAGTGGCATCTTCCAGCTTCCGGGACAGGGCGTCGGCCGCGGCGTTCTCGCTGCCCGGTCGGTAGGTGATGTGGAAGTTGTACTGCGATAGAAGTTCGGCCCAACCCGCCTGGCGGATGTTCAGCAACCTCTTCGTGCTGAAGTATTTCAACGCCTCGTGGTCGGAGATAACCAGAAAAGGCTCCTCGTTCTGTAGACCAATCACCTCGGCCCGCCAACACTGTAAGGCTCGGACCACGGCCAGGAGTTCCTTGTCGTGGATATGGTAATTGAGTTCGGCGCCTTGCATCATCTCGGAGAAATAGGCAACCGGGTGCCATTGACCATCGTCCTGCTTCTGGGATAGGACCCCCGCAACCACACCTTGCGACGCGTCGGTCTCCACGCGGGTTGGTCGGCCAAACTGGAAATGGGCTAGGACTGGCCCATCAAGGAGGCGTTCCCTCAGTTCCTCGAACGCGCGTTGGCAATCATCAGTCCAAACAAACGGGGAATCCTTTCTAGTCAAGTTAGTCAGCGGACGGGCGATACGCCCATACTCGCGGACGAACCGCCGATAGAAGTTGCAAAACCCGAGGAATGACTGCACTTCCTTGACCGTAGTTGGCCTCTGCCAGTGGCGGACCACATCCAGCTTCTTCGGATCTGGTCGAATGCCGTCGGTCCCAATAATGTAGCCTAGGAATCGGGTCTCTGTAACGTGAAATTCGCACTTCTTGAGGTCGGCCTGTAGGCCAGCCTCGCGAAGGCGTTCAAGCACGCGGCGGACGTGAATCTCATGCTCCTCTTCTGTGGCCGAGAAGATCAGGATATCGTCGAGGTATGCGCTGCAAAAGTCGTCGAGGTAGCCCATCAATGTGTTGTTGATGAACCGCTGGAAGGTCGCTGGACCGTTGGTCAAACCAAACGGCAATACCTTGAACTTGTACGCGCCATACCGCGTTCGAAAGGTCGTCAAATCCTCGCATTCGGGGTTGATCCGGATCCGGTGGAAAGCTTGTCGGATATCAATCTTGGTGAAGATCTTCGCTTGGGCGATTCGGGCAAGGGTCTCGTCGATCAGAGGCAGGGGATATTGATCCTTCTTGGTCATCGCGTTCAGCTTGCGGTAGTCGACACAGAAGCGGAGGCTCCCATCGCCCTTGCGGGCGAAGAGGATTGGGGCTGCCCACGGCGCGTTGCTCGGCTCGATGAACCCCTTCTGCAGGTTCTCGGTAATGTATCGCCGGGCTGCCTCCAGTTCTTCGGCGGAGAGCTTCCATAATCCATTGTACCCCAGGTCTTCTGGAATTGACCCGGGGAGCAACTCAATCTTATGGTCCACGGTTGGCCGCAATGGCGGGAGCATATCAGATTCCGCCTTGCTGAACACATCAAGGTAGTCGTGGTAACACTTCGGGACCTGTTCCAGGGCTTGTCGCCGTAGCTGATCGTCATCATCTTCCAGGACCATCTTCAGTTCCAAAATCCTATCAATCTCGTGGAGAGTGGTGATCCCTGTAACCACCGCGTGGCGCCCGTTCTTGCGCCGGCAAGTCTTGCGGAAAGCGGCGGCACTAATTACTGCAATGTGGGGAGGTCTTGCCTTATACCAACCGATAGCGTCCCGCTTCAAGGTATATGGACCCTGAGCGTCCTTGCCCTGTTTCGACGTGTCTGGCGCTGATTCAGATCTCGGCCTTGGCTCCGGGGTTGAAGTCTGCGAAGGGGACAGACATCCTTGCAAGGCGCGCTCCATCTTGCAGATGCCCTCGTCCTGCGGTGTGACCAACGGTTCTGCGAATCTGACCGATCGGGACGAAATCGTAACCTTCCGTGGGACTATCTCGGTCTTCGGCTCTAGCTGGGGTTGCGCCATGGCCTCCAGTTCGGCAATTCGTTTCTTGACTGCGGCCCGACCTGCTCGGCGGCGGCGGTCTTCCTCATCCATGAGTCTCTCTCGCCGGCAGATACCCTCTACCGCTTCCCGGTCCAGACGCTTCGCTGGCGACTGATCCAGAGGAATATTTGCCCCTTTCACCCAACAGGGGTCAGGTCCCCACTCGGGCGGGAACAACAATCGTCGACGTTTGCAGTCGATAAGGACATCATGGCGCTCAAACCACGTGCGGCCGATTATAACGTCGTGGCTAGAATCAATAACCAAGAATGACTCGTCGTAGACGGTTCGGCCTTGGACCGTAAGGTGACCACGGACGCTAGAACTGATCCACTGGGTAGCACCGTGGTTGTCAAATCCACCGATAGGGCGTGGCCGGAAATCCTTGAACCGCTTAACTTGCAATCGCTTGCGCAGCTGCTTTGCAAAGGAAGTGCTGACAAACAGATATCCATCTGCTCCCGTATCAGCCAAGGCATCGTGGGTAGTTAGAGAAACTCCATTGTTGGCTATGGTACACTCGATAACCAGAGGCTTTCCTCCGAGGAGTTCGCTAACATAGTCCCTGCCTTTCGCCACTGACACCTTCCCTGGGAGGGAGTCAAGTTTCCCCAGGGCGCTCAGTTTTCCTGCTCGCTGGCGCTGTCTTCGGCAACGGTGGTGCTGTCGTCGTCCTTGTATGACTGTTCAGGGGGCTTTGTCGCCCAACGCTTCTGAAGACGGGCAACACGGGCGTCCCGGTCTTGCTCGGACCCACGTGGCCTGTCACTCTTTTCCTTCTGTAGGCAGTCGTTGGCAAGTTGACCCTTCTCGCGACAGATAAAACAACGTCCCTCCTCGTAGAGCCGCTTAACGTCGTCGGCCGAAAGCGGCTTCGTCACGGTTGCGCCTTGCTTGCGCGGGAGAAATCTGGGTCCACGGGTTCCGCCTCGGCTGCCACGTGTGGCGTTGTTCGAATTTTGTCGGTTTGTCGTCTGGCGCTCGGTGGCCTGACGCTCGGATGCGCGTTTATTGATGATAGCGATCTGCTGGGCTTCGACGACAAACTGGTCGAATGTAACGGCGGGGCTGGCAAACGAGGGGACCATGCTGCGCTGGAAGCTGTCATAGAGCTTGCGGTTAAACTCGTGCTTCCAGGTCGAGCGTGGCTTTCCAGTCTCGCCGGCTAGGCGGACGAAGTCGTTCTTGAAAGTCAGGAAATCGTCACCCGGTCTCAACTTCAGGTTGTCGTACTCGTCGAGGGCCTTCTGCTCCGTAGTCGGGTCGTGATACTGACCCCACAAGTGGGCCAACAGTTTCGACGAGGTGTTGATAGGAGCAGGGTAGGTATCACGGAGGTAGGGAGCTAACTCCCGTTTTGCCTTGCCTCCGAGGCGTGACTCAACGTAAGCCTGGCGGGCACGGTCATTGCGGAAATGGTCGTCGTTGACCTCCAGCTTATTCTTGATGTCGCGGTACCACTGCTCGAATTCTTCGGTATCGCGGTCCTTCTCGTTGTAGAAGATGGGAGGGTCAGGGATCTTTGTGGACTTCTCGGCAGTGCCCCTACGGGCAGTTGACTGGGTGTCGGTCGTGTCTGTGCGGTCATCACCGGCGTCAATGTTGTCGTCGGCATTGGCATTGAGCGCCGCAGCGAGTTGTTGGTGAAGGTCTGCAATCTGGGCATCGCGAGCAGCCAGCTCCTCGAGCAATTCGGCCTTCTTCATTCGCGCGTAACGCTGCGCGGGAACGCTTCCCTCTCCTGAGTCTCCAACGGGGTTGTCTGTCGGTTCGTCTTGGGTCGCCATCGTGGCGTTCGTTCAGCGGCGCGTAACGCGGCCAATTCTTCGGGTCTTCCGGCGCACAATGCAGCCAGATCAGTCCAATTCGGTTCGTCGATTCGGTTCGTCGCCGGCGCGCAACACAGCCAGGCGGTCAGTCGTTCGAGCGGCGCGCAATGCAGCCAGCAGAGTCAGGTTCGGTCGGGCGGTTGTAGTCAAGCAACAGCCTTCTTCTTCGTCGGGCGCTCACAGCAGCCACTGGTTCTTCGTGCCACAGGTTCGCTCGCGAACGGTGGACTTTTCGGTTCGGTCGAGGGCGCGTAACGCAGCCACAGTCGATTCGATTCAAATTGTAGGCGCTTGGAGCAGCCGTCTCTTCGGTTCTTCGATGCCGTCACCCGCTCGCGAGGAATCGGCTTTCGGTCGGTCGGCGCGCAACGCAGCCGTTTCTCTTCGTTGCCGGCGCACGATGCAGCCAGGCAGTTCTTCGGTTGGGTGCTCACAGCAGCCGGGGTCGGTTCAGTCTTTGGGCGCGTATCGCAGCCGTTTCGCTCTTCAGGTGGGATATTATTGAAGCCTTCCCAGGCGAGGAGTTTGAGCTTTCGATTGTGAGAGACGAGCAATATATAGCGAGGCACAAAGGCGCTGCAAACACTACTCAATTCTGCTAATCGAAAGCTGAGGAAAGGAAAAAGAAGAAGACACAAGATGCGCGTCTGTAGCGCAAGAAGGTAACTAGACGCACGGGCCACCTTTCCTCACATTCGCGATAAGACTGCAAAGAACCAAGGATATATGGCTAAATCCTACCAAGATGCTCTCAAGGAGGGCCTTCTTCCACATTACAACGAAACACGGCATTTCCAGCAAGACAATGCGAAAATTCATGTCTGCAAGTCGACAGAGGAATGGCTCTGCTCTCGGGCTATCTCCTGGACCGAATGGCCCGCTCACAGTCCTGATTTAAACCCAATTGAGCATGTCTGGGCCTGGATGAAGCGCTATTTGCGAAAAACCTTCCCAGACCTCTGGACACTCAAGCAAAACCAACTCGATATCGAAAAGTTTACTGCCTATATTGACGGCCTGATTGACAGTATGCCAAGAAGGCTAGCTGCTGTCAAAAAGCCTCGAGGGTGGTATACACGGTACTGAAGCTCAAAACCTAGGCTTCTAGCAAATACAATTAGATTCCTCGTCAGATTTGTAGTTCCTGCGATATCCTTTGTTAAGTGCTGAGGTAAATGGAGGGGGTTGGGGTGCGGGGCAGCTTGGATCCAGACTTTTGGACCCCCAATGTACTACATCCTGGAAGAGCGGCGTCAGAGCGCCCATGTTTCTCGGTTCGTAGGCGGGACCGTGAAGACAAGTTGTGCTCTCCACATACAGATACTAGCGAAATCGGCTTCCGCTTTTTATTCACTGTTCAATTATCTTGTGGCCCTGTTTTGGGCCTCTTGACGCTTACACCGTGCCTGCTCCCACAGTCAAATGTTCAGCGCAGCAGGGCACAGTGCGTCGCTGCCTGCTGACCTAAGCCGGGACCCAAGGCGAGCGAGCAAAAAAACCTCTCCGAGCATCGTGAGAGGGACTTGCGCGTACTCATGTCACCGGCGTGACCATGACTGTAAGATAAAAGAAGGTTAAGAGATTCACGAAATCAATTTGAAATATATAATGAAGACTACTATACTGGTGGCTGTTCGTTCTCCTCTAGCCATGCCTTCAGATTTGACAGTGTAGATGCCGTGTACGGATGACCTACGCTGAATACCTGTTGCCGGAGATCAACGCAAGTTTGTAGTAGGCCAAGAGCATCTTCGTGACGACCCATGTCCTTCCAAATAAAGGCGAGATTGGCCATACTAATCAGAGTGTGGGGGTGCCTCTGACCCAGCTTCTTCGCACACATTCAAGTCCTTTGGCTTGTAGTTCCTCCGCTTCCTCCCACCTGCCCTGGTTCCGGTACGTCGACGCCAGGTTGGCCATGCTGGTCAGCGTGTCGGGATGATCGGCCCCGAGCTTCGTCTTG